CCCCAAAACCCCAAAACCCCAAAACCCCGAGATCTTAATCGTCTAACATTTTCATTGTTAATTGTTTACAATATCTTATTTTCATTAATATTTAAGTAAAAACAGCAACAGATTAGTTCAATTATAATTTTACAATCCCTTTTTAAGTTTTAAATTTAGCTTTTAAATCAATAGCTTTTGCTCCTGCTTAATCAAAGGCTTAAGATATATTTCACCCTCAAATTCTTATTTCCCATCATTCACTTGATAAATATCATTCTAGTTTAACTATTAAGGAGCTTTAACCGTTGAAAATAATAATCCTGACAAGCAGGCTCTGATTATTTTAAAGTCCTCTCTAACTCTGATATCTTTAATTGAGACATCTTAAAAACTGAGTATGCAATCATTACTCAAGATCATCTGTTAAATCATTTCAAATGTAGACCCTTGCCAAGCTGTAACCTAGGTTTTGATAAGTATATCCTTGTTTTATTCATTAGTGTTTGAATCTAATTGTTCAGTTTATATGCTCTTACTTTTGCCGTTTTAGCCAATTATTCCCTATTAGGATATTATATCTTAAACTAAACTTACTTTCTGGTTCAATAGATTTACATCTCTGAGATTGATATGTTCAAATATCAATTGGATAAACTCACTAATCATAATTTAGAATACTGCCTCTAATTCTTTATCAGTATACTCCTCTGGTTAAATTCCTTCATATATCATCTTGATAAATTCTCTTATAAATTCTTCTTGGTTTAAATACATATCAGTGAAATCTATGTTCTTCATAGTATTTTAGCAACATTTCATCCTTTTGCTAGATTATTGAGAGTCTTTTCCTTCATCTTTACTTTCATCTAATTTAGACTATCCACAATTATTCATTGAATCATTGTTAGAAGTGAAATTATCATGATCCTTTACCAAGAAATACTCCTAATCATCACTAAAGTTTAAAGCATTCTGAACGTTTTGGGCTTCATTTGGATCTTCTAATGCAATTTGATTGCTGCTTACCATTTAATTGCTATAATCAGATTGCATACTATAGTTAGGACATATATTTTCTTTATTCTCTATATTAGTCATATTGCTTTATTAGTTCACATAGTTATAATGTTCTTCATTATTTTAATTGAGATCTAATTAGAATTCAATATCTTGAATGTCAATAGTTTAGTTGAATATCAGTTAATTATTGCTACTGTTGTTTTACTATTAATAATTACTCTGGATTTATTCCTATATTACTTACTTGCTAAGATTTGATATCTATTGCTATTGATTAGTAAGTGAACTCTAATTATTGAAGTTATTACAGAGATTAAGAGTTATTGAGTCTTTGCTAAACTCATCAATAATAGACAGATTTCTCTTACCTACTATTTCAGATTGTGGAGCATTAAGATTATAGTTATTAGCCCCAGCTCTCTTACTTCTATATGGTGTAAGACCTTATTATTAAATATTTGTTTGAGTTTAGTTAACGTTTGGAAAATTCTAAGCTGATTAGACTGAGCCGAATACACCCTATGACTTGAGTGAACTAGGTTGAGCTGTTCTTCACTGGTTTATTCTGTTATGGTTCTAATTATGGTGTTACTGATTATTAGCTTCCTTGTTTTGGTATTATTTAATATAAGTGTCTCTATCGACAATGATGCCATTAGATACTGGGGTGAGTTAAAGTAATTGCATGCGTTTCATATCATACTTTGAAGGAGGAGTTGTGATATTTGACTTGAGATCTTCGCATTCATCAGCCATTGATTCATTTTACTTCTTTTAAGCACTATTTTGCTTATTAGGTGAATTGTTGCTATACATTATATTATTTATTATATTAATAAATTTTAATTATTTCTCTAAAATTAATTCAACATTGATGTGTTAATTTTTGGGGTTTTGGGGTTTTGGGG